AACAGCTGAAGATCAGAACAAGTCAACGCAATCTGTAAGGCTCCCCTTCCCCTCGTTTTGAAACCCAGGATGAAATCAGAAGGATCACTTGCTGTCCTTTTCTTTCTCGCAACCTTATGCAAAATGTTGGAGCTTCTCCTTGCATAACTTCTACCTGGTAAATTAAGTTGCAACCCTATTCCTCCCAACTTTCTTTTTAGTTCACACGTTTTACCTGAATAATTGCATGAAACAAATCTTGCTTTGAGGTTTGATTACCAAAAAAGTATTAAAAAAATGAAATGTAGGTTTATCTCACGTAACACAAGGCATATATTGGATTAACTGGAGAACAGAAATAGCAGAATTACTTTGTGAATTCAGACAGCAACATATTTATAAATAGAGATTTCCTTTCAACAAATATTTTGCTCTATTTGCTTAAAAGGCACAATTTCAGGATTTCCACCAACAAACTCATAAAAAGCAGACCTTATGGCTACAGCTGTGGACTTTGCCGCTGCGAATACTCTGCAACGTGCGCACGTACCCCTGCGTCACTACAGGTCACTCCCTGCCTAGAGGTCTTCAGGTGCAAAAGCCATGGCAGAACTGCTGCCAGTAGAGAAAGCGAATCCTATCGCCTTGGGTCCGGGGACGCTGTAGGCTGTGCGTCTGACACTGACGCACACGGGACACCGCTGAGCTCTCAGCCGGCCATCACCTGGGGAAACTCAGTAGCAGCCCTTTCCCTTTATATTCTTATTTATATTTGTTGTTCCCTATCTGCTATAGTGCTGGGCAGGCTAAAAAACAGAGTGTGAAAGTGCAACAAGAGCTGCTAAACTTCTGCGCTTCAGAAAGGAAAAGCAACAAAGGAAAACCTCAAGGAAATGCAAACCTACACTTCAACCTGGATTTTGGCTCCAATCAGATCAAGAAATGACCCCTACCTCTTCCCCAGCATGGCTTTTAGGCATTCAAAGCACAAACTCCCAGTATGCTGTCTGAAAAGCCCAGGCTTAAAGTTTATCCTTTAATTTGAGGCTTTGTCATTTGGCCGGGGGGAGGTAATCAGGACAAGGCTCTGGACCATGCTCCTCAAAACATGACAACAGACACACCAAAAATCCAAGCTGGCTGCATGCAGCAATTAAAGTAGTGTTTACTATTCCATGACAGTTAACACGTTGGACTGACCTTTCATTTACTGTTTAGTACTGAACGTTAAGCTGCAAAATTACTCATGCTTTGCATTTAGTACTGGCATCAAAACTAACAGCATTAGATAGCTATTCCACGGTGAGACACGTGTTCCCTCTGCTCAGCTGTGCATGTACTTTTATAAGCATTGTATTTGATATTTAACATCGCTTCCACAGGTTATATTCATCCGTTACCATTAGGAATTATTGGTATCGCTGCTCCAAAATGTAAAAAGCATATGCAAAATGTCCAGGGTGACACAGCTGGTAAAATTATGTCCCTTCCTTACATGCTGGGAGAGATAAAAAGGGAAGGCTGGTGTATGCCCACAGGTCCCTGCAGCAGCTCCCAGCCAGATGGCAGAAGTACAGAAGCTACGGAGGAAAAGTTTCTTTGTTTACCCTTCTTCTAGCTGCTTACAGCAGCCACGGTATAAAGGGAGGCACAGGATGGGTTTTGCAAGAGCCCGGCAGTTGGAATATTCTCTCCGAAACTTTCCATTCACCCTCGGGCTGAACGTGGGCGGGAAGGACCCGCAGTTTCCATTCCCTGGGGCGATGCTCTCCTGGGGAGGCTACAGATGGAAGGGAAAGGCTAAGTCTCCAGCAAAGCGCCTTTGCCAGTGTGCTTTTGACTGATGTTAGTGCCACGAGGAGGTAAAATTGTGGTTATTTCTACCTTGGCTGTAATTCCTCTGGTCAGACACTTGGCATGCCCAGGGCTCTGCATTTTGACTACAGAATTCAGGTTTTTGGGTCACAGGTTGCCCCAGCCAACCCAAACACGGGTCTTCTCCACTCACCCCCTGCGCTCTTTCCAGCTTTCACTTGTGTCACGGTCCTGCTGTGGGCACCGCATCCCAAATACTGATGAACCTCTCTGCCCACCCCTTCTTCACCTCTGCCTGGAGGCTTTTTCATGACACATTTCTAAACCTCTGTTTGTTCCATCTTTTTTGAAACAGAGCAACGGGCACTGCGAATGGACAGCCTGCGAATATCAGAATAACATTCAGTTCACATCCAGACCGGAACATTAATAATACAAATATATTAAGGGATTCCCCGCCATTCATGTTTGGGTTTTTTTTTCATATTCGGGTTTTTTTTTTCATATTCATAGGGGCTATTTATATCTAAATCTCTATTTTCTGCATTACAACTGAAGGTACCGGCTTATTTTCCCCCAGCTCAAATATTCCCATTGCAGATTCAAAAGGGCAAATTTTCCAAGGCTGCTCAGCATGCTAATTATGATAGCATCACTGCCGATTCGATCTTGCCTGCTTCTTTTTTAGTATTTCTAGACAGGTGTTTTGTGCAACCAATATGCCAGCTCAATGGGCAAAATCATTATGAGATTGCTGATAGAAGGCAACTCAGTGTATTTTAAAAATCAGTATCATTTCTTAAAGAAAGAAGAAACCTATCAAACAAGGTTGTAACTGTATTTAATGCACATTTTGCTTTTAACAGCAATTTGCCAGTTTAAACAGCATAGACCTTACAATGCTTAATTAGTGAAGAGGTTATAGTGCTTATAAAGTTGTATCTAAAATATACCTTATTCATTCTCTATCGAACAACATTTTTAAGACAGTCTAATGTTGTAATTACACGCTATACAGTAGCAGCATGTTCACACCGCTACAGTTAAGGCCGTGTCAGCATTCTCATCATGAACCTTTTTCAGGGCTTGAACACATCAGCCATAAAATTACAACGCGGTTTGAAAAAATACAACATTCAAGATGTGACTCTTGTATCGACTTTAGTCAAATAAGAATAAAAATAATGAAACATATATAATAGAGGACTCCACCCAAATTTATTTTGGATGATGGCTGCCTTTGCACAACATGCTCAAAATTTCCAAAATGAAATTGAAAAGAAGTGAGCGGACTGCACAGCCTCATCAGGTTTAGATGAATCCGAGTACAAAGTGTTGTAAAGTGGGTGCCGCAGATGCACAACAACCACTTCTCACATACTGCACACTTTAACATACACAAGGCTTCTTCTGTGTAAATATTTAGACCGGCAGGTCAAAGCAGTTCTACCACCAAGTGAATAATAAAAACTACTCATCTCCAGTTGTATACACTTATTGCTGGCGATGCATGTGAATTGTTTACCAAGTCAGCACACAGGCTACTGAGGCACCACGTTGTTTCCTCCAGTTAGGGTAAGAAACAGCTGAATTTCTATGCCATTCATGCCCTATTATTCAAGACGGACTCATCACGCTGCCCACCAGGCTGAAGGCATTTGTTTAAGTAAAGAAGGCAGACGAGGCCAAATACTGTACGGAAAGGGACCCAACAGCTGCTTCAGTGAAATGCCAGAGCCTGACTAAGGAAACTCACCCTTAGCTCACACCCTAGCAGTTTCTTGGTTTTATTAATAAAATGCTTCTTATTGCCATATGGTTTGATTAAAAGAAACTCTCTAGTCAGGGATCTACTTCAACACATTCTACCTCTGCTGAAAGCAAAGCCCATCTGTAAGGGCTTTCCTGAAATATTACCCAAGGAGAAGTGTGCTTCAGGTGTTGAATTGTCATGGAACCATGATAACCTGATGAAACTTTGTGGAGCTGCAGAACCAAGCTCTTTATACATCATTTGCTTATTTATTATTTTTACACTTCCCCATTCAAGAAATTTTCCTTTTGTGACCACCTCTTTTGTTACAATGCTTTTGGAAGCACTCCATTGCATGCTTTTCAGACTTAGAGATAAGCATATAAGACTGAAAAAGAGTTGCCTATTTCAAGCTTCGTGTACAATGCATACACACGTTTATTAATAAAAACTTGTCTAAACATCTATTTGTTCTTTGGACCAACTCCAGCCTCCCTAGGTGACTGTAACATGTCTTATAAACCTTTAATGGAAGATTTAAAAAATAGTACTTCAAGACAAAAAAGCAAAACAAATACATTAAAACATCATCAACACAGAGACAGAAAGGGGAAAACGAAGCAGAGACATCCCATGCCAAATCCACTGCTGGCACAGTTTAGCAGTGTCCTCGAAGTCTGCTTTCTTGCACAAGTTCTTTTATCTCATGGTCTTAAAAGGGAGCTGCAAAGCCAAGACGAAATTCCACGTGTGCCCCCACATACGGGTCACGCACTAAAATCCTTCTTCTTAGGAAGGGAACTGATTAGCACACAGCCTATTTCAGCTCTCTGTCCTACCAGACTTTCTGTGCACAGGCACCTGGAAAATCGGGGTAACAGTATTTCCCTACCTCAGAAAATTGCTATGAGGACCCATGCGTTTCTGGTTGCCTGGACCATAGTCACAGCAATAAGGGCTACATCAGCACCTAAAATACAGCCTTGCCTCCTTCTGCCGATCCCTGCAAACAGAGCAGGTAGTAGACAAGAACTAGCAACAGTAACATTGGTAGTGGAGGGTTTTATGACACTATGCGGTAGTGGCTGATTTAGTTCAGCAGAATTAAGTTTTGCAATAAAAACTCCCTAAGATTTTTTTTTAATAGGGATCAACACAAGTCAGCTTAAGAGATTGTACAAGAATGACCCGAATTGTATCCAGTTACTCAGCACAACGAGTAGTTTCAGAATCTGTCCGCATCTGATGATGGTCCACATAAATTCATATACAAACACATACACTGGTTGTACCAGGGGAAAAAATAGCAAGTGACTTCCAGCCTCAGTTTCCACTTCTGTATTCTGTGATACTGGGCACGTACCACAGACAAATGAATGCTACGGCAATAACCCATACAATCCGTATTAAGTTTCCTCACCTGTGATGTGAATAAGAAGAATGATACAGTGTGTTAATAGGCAGAAATCAGTTACTTATTGCATCAAAGCTCACCTGTAATCCATGAATTTCATAAAGATATTACCGGCTATCATCATGGAAAGAGAAGATCTTCATTCCTAAATTTGAGTCCCCTGTCTTTCACTGAGCTATTAAGAACAAATTCCTCAAAACCTTCAAGATAAAGTGAAGCAGAAGTTTCAGCTACAGAAACGTAGTGCAAAGGTTCAGTTTGGCACTGCACCATTATGGACAGACAAGAACTTATGGTAAACTCAGTTTACATTTGGAAAAAAGAATCCTATAACTGAACCAATATTGTCAAATGTATTGCATACTATTGTAACTTCACAGTAATCAAAATCAGACATCAAGGTTTCTATAGAAGCAGCAATCACAGATTGCAGTAAAGTATACCACTCAAGGGAAAAAAATTGCATTTTGGCTATTTCATAGTCAAGTGTTCCTTATGCTCCTCCGACAGTCATCTGTCAGGTATTTTCCTGTTTAAAAGGTGCGTATTTTCTCCTCAGTCCTCATGAGACTTCTCTGCAATGACTTTGCATTCATACTGAAAAACAGAAGTTGATAAAATTAGTATGATTAATTTACATAACTAACGAAAAAAGACTACTATGAGGCAGATTTTTCTACAAAACAGGTGATAAAATAGCTTAGCTTGCACTTCACCCACATAAGTTTGGTCTCCCTATGTTCTGTGCATGCACTGTTGGCTGCAATTGCTGTCTCCCTGAGCAGCAGAAAGAGCAGTTCAGCCTTAGGAGATGGCCTGACTTCTCCCCAAACACAGGAGCTCTTATTTAGCTCCTGGTCCTGAAAGGACTAAAAGTACGCAAACTGAGAGCGTACAGAGGAAAAGAGATGGGCTGTGCTCTGAATAACAGTACTAATGGCTTAAGAACTAGATCAAAAAGCCATGATTACTGATTTCTACCTTACTCCACACCCACAAGTCAAATAGCTGGTTGGTATATATGAAGAAAGGAATGACATGTAGATTAAAGCTTTTACTAGAAGACAATCAACCCGCCCTCCAAACTTACCATTGCCAGCTGCCTGCCGATATTGCCCATAGTTATTCCACCAGCAAAAAATATACATGGCAACCAGGATCGAACATAAAGGAAATCTGGAGATGTGTATCTGGAAAAGAACAAGCTCAAAGATTGAGCTCAACGTTGTGCAATACACAGAGTCCTCCAATCACATGAGCCAAATCCACAAATCTAAATATTAGGACATTTCAACTAAAAAAGACATGTATCATTGAAATCCAAATACTTGCAGCAAATAACAAAGCTTCTTATTGATTATAATCCCATTCGTTCAACTAAAAAAGCACATTACATTGTTGGCAAGGTAGCAATTTTATTGAAATAAGCAACTTACAACTAGAAGTCTCACTTACAAACACATAAAAGCTTTCATGAACAGTCCAATTCATGTTACACTCAAAATTAAGTGCTGGCAGCTTTGGAAATCATGTCAAATTCTGCCCCTTCAGTTATTCTGGTTTTATGTTACAGATTCAGGAGACTACCATTTAACCTTAAAGGAGTAAATACTTACTGATAAACTCCATTGTAGACCAGAAGTTGTGACACCAATGTGGCCAGGAAAGCAATTCCTACTCCAAGACCAAAGCCACTTCGTGATCTATCAAAGGTCCACCACAGTCCAATTGACAGGGCTGCTAATGTGAGAGACAACTGGATGTTGTTGGCAAAATCCACTTTCTGTGTTGATTGTTAAGGATAAGCTTGGGAATATCATATACAAGTGTAAAGCAGTTTTCTTCATTCTGTTTATCGTATTTTGGCACAACAGAAAAACACACCACAAAAAATACAGCCCTAGCAGTATCAGCTCTAACACAGCTATCAGCTGGAAGGAGATAAGCCTTCTAAGTGTTGCCAGTACATCAGGAAACTAAAAACTTACGACACTTCTTCACATTTTTAGGGTCTTAGCACTGACAAGACTGAAGAGACTATACTCCTACCAGATAATGCAAGTGTTTTAGATGGACATACAATGCACATGTTACTGTTCAGAGTAAGGACATCTCATCCTTACCTGGTCCTTTATTACACTAAGCACGAAATCTTAAATCTAACGTTAAACTCCTCTAAATGACAAGGATTTACTGAAAAAGGTATTTGTCACTCTTACTTAATTGCAATTTTGTTTAATTTACATGCTGGTTTACATTCAGCTAAACATTAAAAAGGTTAATATTTTCTATAGAACAAAATGTAAATAATATTACTGTGAAAGTATTCATGTAAATCAACATTGAAAATCAGTTTTGCCAGCTCTGTGATAAAGGTGTGAAGTCACTCCAGGTATCTTTGTAGTGTTTCACATTCTTCAAAATGTTTTCGAAATACTAACTCATCCTTGCTACTCCTGTCCAAAACAGATTATTAAAAAGGAGGCTGTCAAGTTTCCTAAGCCTGAAAGCAAATTTATGGGATGGCAACATAAAAACACTGCCCTATTTTCTCACAAAGACCTGGAGAGAGACCTGGAGGAAATGAGAAAGAAGTTCAACTAAGTGAAGTAAGTAATTACAGGATAAAAATCAATAGCATCAGAAAAAATGTCAAACAAGACCAAAACCCACACCAAATATGGTAACATGCAGAACTGGCAATAAGCTGAAAAGAAAGTGGTCTGGAGAGTTGTCAAGGAGGAAATACAGACAGTACGTTAATGATGTCCTGGAATACCTGTAACGGCCGTTAGAAAACTGCGAGAGGGTTTGCTGTAAATAACCTGACCCATGCAGAGAGAAGCCGTCAATTCTCTTGTATTTCTTAAAAGCAGCCAAGTTGCACGTGCTCACACAAGAGGCACAGTCCAGGTCGGTGAGAACCGCAGGACCAGGTTAATGCATTTCTGGCAAGGAGATCAAGGTTTGTGAGGGACAGCGGGAATGGCACTGAACCTTGGCAGATCCAGCTCACCCAGCCATACTGGATAGGATGGCTGGTAGGAACAAAACCAAACAACAAAACCCATCCGAGGGCCAAGCCACCTCAGTAAGAATTCGGCTGGCTCTCACATCTTCCATTTAACTTGCCCTCTTTTCCTGGAAATGAGGAGATTCAGTAGCACAGAATCAGAATTTCTTAGCACGATTTCTGCAAACCGTGTTCGAACTGACGCTGAAGGAGATGAGAGTTTCAGAGATGATCAACTTTCTTTCTAATTAGTTTACAAGAACACAGTTCCTGGTTTTACCTGACAGAGGAGGCCCTAGACATGACTACACAAAACCACGAAGACTCACAGCACTGCCAGTAAGGTGTGTCAGTCCACATGAAAAACACCCTGTCACCCAGCATGTCTCCAGCTGCTTCAGATGGAAGGGATGCCAGTTTTGAGCACACTTGTGCAAGGATGTATCTGCATTAGGAGGTGTATACTGTACTACAACATGCTGACTGACTTCTAATTGCTCTTACTGAATGACCACAGGAATGGTAACCACTCTCTCAGCATCAAGGCATCATTTGCAGAATGGAGTGACAGCGCTTACTCGCTTTGTGTAGTCCTGGGCATCACCTGGTCCTGAGTTTTCCCCATTCTTTGCAAAGTGCATGGGCTTCACTTGATGACCTCAAGGCTGGGCTTCAACCTCTTACTACGATGTTAAAAGGACATCAACCCTTGGAATGTCTTAAAGCACTTTTCTGTAATACTTACTGCATAAATATTTCCCCACACTTACTTTAATTATTCGAAGAAAATAAAGACTGTAAGACAAAGCCCAGTATTGAGACATTTCTAATGAAAAGGTTTTTCAGAATGAAAAGACAGGAGACTTATCACCCCCAATACTGCTACGACAGTTTAACACTAACACATATTCTGCATTTCCCTTGCAAAAATGCGGCTCGCTATATCTTTAACAACAATTCACCATGACTGACTATGTGAGCTTTGTTTTAGTGGAAACCCATTTATTATCACCAATTTCATTAGAATACAGGATACAGCGCTGGCATGATTTATTCCCACAAAGACAGCTACACATCGCATTACACTGGACCATTCTCTCTTAAATTTATGTGGCTCTCCCAGATGTCTGTCCATGCATGGGTACAATAACCCAATCACAGCTGTGGAGACAGGAAAGAAAAAAGACCCAGAAGTTAAAGCACTGGCAATATTTAATTAAAACAAAGACTATCTAGACTTTCACAATGATTCTGACTACCAAAACAGATCTTTTAAGGATAAACAGTACAAAACATACATTGTAAAAGAGGCATTTCAAACAATTTCAATATTTAAAAAAAGCCCTGTAAAACTTCAGCAGCATCTTCAACCACTGCAGCAGTGACCTGGCAGAAGTAGCACAACAGAGACAATTTGAAGTAGGGACAGAGGATGAAAGAGCTCTGCACCCTACCAAAATCTGCAGTCTCACATTGTAGTTCAAAAAGAGCAGTAATAGCTTGCAGGCTGGCACTTTTGAAAGTCCCACATATCATACATACATGTTTAAATAACTGCAAAACAAACACACCAGAGTAAGGGCAGAATGTGGTTTATAACATCAATATTTTGTGTCTTCTTTTGTTGTTGTTACAAGCAGTTTTTGTTTGGATAATGTTTTTCTCTTCTTCAATGCTACTATAAAGGCTCACACAGAAGAGGGAAAGCCAACAGCCTATGGTAGCTGTTGAATACAGAAAGCAAACAGGACTTTCAACCCCGGGGAACTGCTACGCTCTTTGAACATTTCTTCACAAATGTGCTCTCTACTGCAATTGCAGCTGAAAAGACTGTTACCAACACAGCTGAGGAATAACACCGGTGCTTAATGTTAAACTGATGCTGTGGGAGGGGGGGCAGAGCCTGAGTCATCGGTACGGACTCCAGTGCCCTCAGTCTGGCTTGCTGCTGGAGGTATGTTATGGCAAATGCTCTTTATTCTGTCAGAAAGGAAACTGATCCCCAGGATTTGGGAAAATAAATCACCAGTAAAGCTGGAGAGGAAAAAAAAAAAAACCCTGAGTAATTTTCTTGCCAAAGGCATTGGGCCAAACTGATGACTAATAACAGTGACGGATGAAAGTACTTCTCTGAAAGCAGCTTCGATCACCACTGATTATAAATATGCAAAATACCTTTATTCTGTTCATAATAATAAACCATACTGCAGAGAAACGTTCACGTCAATTCCAGGAAGGCTGTGCAAGTACAAAAGGTAAGAAAATGGGCGAATAATCAGCATTTACCACAGAGGTTCCCTGCATGTACGCTACCAGAGAAGATAAAGAAAGAAAATGGGGAAGAAAAGACTAATAATGAAAAAGAAAGAACTCAAACACCTCAACACTCCTGCTCGGAAAAGCCAATTAAGGCAGTAATATATTTAAATCAGGTGGCTTAAAATCAAGTAGTGCGAATACCTAGCAGGTGACTGGCTACACTTTACGAGCCATATCCAGTCTTTCCATCAAAACCACCAATCTATCAAACCAGGAAGGCCCACAAGTTTTTTCCGAGATGATGGCAAGACCTAGTCTTGGCAACTTCCCCATACGCAGCTGCAGACAGTGTTCTCCGATGACCCAAGAAAGCGTAAGGTGCAGCCTGATGCAAACAGCTGACAGTGTGAACACGACAGTGAACACTTGTGTGAACACTTATGTGCAGCTGCTGCAAGTTGGGATTCTGTCATTTCAACCCCCACTGCTCCACATATAAAAGATCAAACCTTTGCCAGACATGTTTGTTAAGACAACCAGTTTAATGTACAAAAACACAGCAAAGGCAGGATACAATCCAATAACTAATCCACAATCTCAGCAGGATAACAGAAAGAGGACTAAGACAACTAGCAGATAAAGGAGGTAACTGCCACCATAATACACGAAATGTATTTCCACAGTAGAACAAAACTGACAGGTTCAGAGAGATATTTGGAAGGTTTCCTTTCAAATCAAGCTCCTCTATGACATCTGGGGTGGAGTATTTCAACAAGGTATGAAAAAGAAAGCAATTAGACAACTAGGAAAAAAACAAACTTAAATATTATCATTAGCAAAACAGTGATGCCAACTCAAAAGCTAGTTTATTGACTCATATTAATACCCAGAAACTTGAGCTTCTTAATCTTATCAAAACTGACCTCCAGGAAGATACCACCTTTACTGTAAAGGTTCACTAAAGCAGAATCCTCCAGTACTGGCTGCTAAGAATATTCCCTTAGTAAAGCGTAAAACTGACCCATGGGATCAGTGATCTTCAGAGCCAAGCAGAAAGCTGAATTCCATCAGGCTTGTAACATGGAATACACCTTGATACTTGAAGATGAAAGAAGAGGAAAAAGGGATATTTCTTACAACCTATAGTAGACATCTCACTTAAACTAGCTAAACACGCAAAAGCCTCAACTCCCTATGTGGTCGTGGGAGAAATGGAGCCTGTTCACATCATCTGACTCGATACACGAATCTAACCGACGTGCTCTGCTCTGCAACGCGCCTCTACAACTGCAAACTGTGTGCCTGGCCTCAACTCCCTGAGCCACAGTCAGGCGTCCCAGCTTTACGGAGCTAAAGCAATACTTTGAACTGGAACGAGGAACAAATGGAAAGCCGGACCACAAAAGGGAGCGTAACTCAGGGTGGTTTGCTGCGCTCAAAACAAGGTACTGTGTGCTGCACCATCTGGCACTTGCAGGGCATTTTCAAGGGCTGCCCGTAGAGCACACTCCTGTAATCCAGCCTCAAGGTTACAAGTGGCACCACCTTCAAAAGTCTGTTAAACCTGTACTCTAACCCAGCAGAAAAAGCAAAGGTTATGCTCTGCTAACAATATTATAGTGAACAAGTTAGCAGAACAACAATTTCTGGACACATGCATGCGTATCTGCGTAGACATGGGGAGATGAGGAGGATAGTAACAGCTTGAAAAGGGCAGTGATGCTGGAAATTTTTATCTTCCACACCTTTCACACAGTTTTTTGTAACTATATAACTACCTATCCACCCTTTCATCTCCACGCCAGGCATACATACACAACTGGACTTACCTGACGCTGTGCCACAGCAAGGTGGTACCCACCAAGCTGAGGAGAAGATGCTTGTGATCACATCAGGGGGGAAGAGAGTAACGTTTCTCTGGATCTGAAGCAAGTTTAATACTAATGCAAGAAATACGCCAATAAAAAACAGCACTATACCACGAATTACCAAATTCATGCCACGACTGGTTACAGATGAAATGTATGGGCCACACTTTTTTGGTAAGGTTGGCATTGCATCATTTTCTGCCATGACTTCTTATGTTCTCAGAGACATCCAACAGGCTGACTGAGGAGGATTCACTTGCAAGCAGTATTTTGACTCTCCTCAATTAGGAGATACCCAAACCCTGAAAAATAATTACAAAAGGGTGAAAAATGCAGATATAAGAAACATTAAATATATTTCTTAAATAACTTGGAGATTGGGTTAAAAAGTATGGCTATTATATTTTTCTGAATTTTCCGAGGAGGCAATTAGTCATTTGAGAGCAGAACCAACCACAGCTGTAAAAATGCCTTACAAAGAAAACAGGTTTTACAAATAGCTTTGTCTACTAGGAGACAGAGGAGGAGGAAACATGTGGGATGGGACAGCTAGGAATGTGAACCACAGAGAAGAGGTGAAGAAATGAAACTGATATTAGATGGAAGAAAGGCTTGCTTTGCAGTAACAATAAATTGTTTTTCTCCCCGCCTTTAAGCAACAACTGGAGACTATGTAATTCAGAAGCAAGTAAACACAGCCCTTAGTTTCAAGTCAGCCACAGAGGTTCACAGATCTCTCTTCTTGAAGAGACGCCAGAAGACATTTCTCAACTGGAAAGTGAAATCTGAGGAATATTTTTCAGGACGGAGTCAGAATTTCAGCAGTCCCGCAGCATTTTCGTAACCCCAGATAAGATCAAACAACTCAGCAAACCAGAGAAGTAATCTCAATACAGAGAAATGTTTACCAAAGAACACAGTTTTGGTGAAAACTGCCATATGTTATTACAAACCGTAATTGTCACAAGGCACAAAAGAACCTGAGTGAAGGGAAAAGGAGCTCCCCCTGCCCGTGCACTAGGTAGCATCCTACATAAGTAACTTTGCTGGCACTACAGGAACGGCAGAGTTCCCATCCCAGCCATTCTTTTTAAAAAAAAAAAACAAAACTGTCCATCAAGATTCTTGTTATACACAGATTCAGTGCCACACTCATGTAGAACAACGATTTTGATCGACAGCTTAGCCACCTGGAACTTAAGAAAAAAAGCCCTGACACTGTTTTTCAATTTGAAACTGCCAACTGGTGGTGGCTTTTGTTAACTCTTATTTATGGCCACGTGGGCACAAGGGCAGCCAAACCAGCGCATCCATCCCCCTTCCTCCCCAGCTTCAGCAGATCACGAGGAAGCTCTCTGAAGACGTAGCAGCAGTGCAGAGGATGCAGCACTCACTTTTGCTGATTGAAAGCCAAAAGTGAAGTTAAATACATCCAGGCTAGTTAAGATACTACAGGTAACTGCACAGAAAATACAGTGCCACACCGTGACATCCTCTATCACTCAGAAAAAGTTCCAAGAGGCAAAAGAAAAGAAAAAAAAAAAAACTTCTGATCACATATAACTTCCCGCTGGCAGTTCAGGGAGGCAGCAGAGTCCTCCTAAGAACACAGGATCTCTTCCACACAGCCGATTCTCTGCATTATTTGTGATCATGAACATATCTTGGGGGGAAAGAGGGCAACCACGGTGTCTGGCTTCTTAGTCAGCTCCCTGACTCACACCAAACAGACATCTGCATTGAGGCTGGCACTGGCACTGCAACACACTTCCCTCAAGCAAAAAGGAGGTGCTCCTTATTGGGTTTTTTTTCCCTCCTCCGGATAGCACGGCAGTGGAGCTTGGATAATACATTTAGCCTCCAGGAAAGAAAGCAGGGAGTCAGAAATACATCACTATTTCAGCTGAGGCTTTGCCCACCAGGTGATCATAGGAATTCCCGAAATTTACAGGAGTCCTTTCACTGCATGGTACTGGAGACTGTAGGTCCCAACCTCAAACTCTGCAGGAGTATGCCCCACCATACCTGATGGGGGCTTTTAAACTGTTATGTCCCTTCTTCGCTTTAGCTTGCCTAGGAAAACACGCTAAACTCTCTTGACTCTCCTCTTGCTTCACCACCCCAACAGCTCTTGGCACTTTCTGCAGTCTTCTTTTTTTTTAATGCATGACCAGAGCTGATGTATACGATCCCAGTTTCGGCTCTCACAGCCTTGTACAAGAAAGCTCACGCTTCTGTGTCTCTCTTTAAATGAGCTCTTCTGCTGCACACCAAGGATCACAATTTCTTTTTTCACTATCACAAAGCGGTTGCTCACATCCTGTGGTCCATTACTACATTCAAGTCTCTCCTCTGTCCTGTTAATGAACTTGTTCCTTGGTACCAGCCCCAAACCTTGCATGCCGAATTTCGGCCCGTAGGTATTATTTACTCTGACGCTCAACGTCATTCCATTTTTCCTGTAGGATACCTCAGTCCCCTTTGGCCCTGCAAATGGTTCCCAGCTTTGGGTCATCAGCAAACATCATTACTGCATCCTATTTTGTGCACTAAGGGTGATCAACTAAATTACTGAGCGAGACCAGCCCAAGTCCCTGTCTTTGATGAAATCTATTAATAATTCCCCCGCTGCCATTACTTCCCCACTTTATACTATCTCTCCATAAGACTCTGTTTCTTATAATTCTTCAAATACAATAATCTCCAACGTAATTAAGAATCACCAACTGTCCCACATGGCAATACTGACATAAACACCAATCGGATCTTACTTTTTTTTTTTCTAGAAACGCTGATGATCAAACAGAAGTCCAATTTTATTCTGGCATAAACCAGTTTCAGAATATAAAACCTGCATTTATCCAATTTCCATTTATTTAATACGACATTTGGCAAATGTATGTATTTAATTGTGAAGGCTTATCAAAATGTAACAGGACTTTGCTATGCAAGGAAATCAATCACTGCTTTTATACAACCACTGCAGCAGTGAGCCATTCAAGGCACCTGCAACAGATTTTTACTACGAGGTAAACAGCCTGAGCACAGCAAGGGCACCTGGGTGCACGTCAGTGAATGTTTATAACAAGTAATGCAAGGTCCCAAATTAGCACGATGCAGTAGTTTCCATCCTGGTTTCTCACCCTACACCTGTTGTTCCTATTTGTTTTATCCCACTTTCCAAATTTTCTCCGCTCATTGGCTCTGAGACCTTCTGGCATGCCACAAACAGAGCAGTGGGGAAACAGAGCAAGGCAACCAACACTCATATAAAGATTCTTCAGCGCCTCGGACAGCCTGCGTTCACGATGTTCAGGCACGGCAAAGGTATCTATTATCGTCACCTTTAATGAAAATGGAAATTAAGGTCTCTGAAAAAGACATCACCTCCTTCTTCTGGACGGGGAGGCTAGTGTGCCTGCAGACAGAGGAGATGATGTCTCTCTCCTTTTAAGCCTTGTGTTTTACCAAGGGTTTCCACTCAGATGGGAATAGCTCACATATTGAACCAACACTGCTACTGAGCCTTCATCTCTTGGGAACGCATATTCAAAACTGTAACACCACACTGAAAGCTACAGGCTTGGCACTGCCACAAAGTCTCAGCTGCACTTTCCCTCCTCGGTGGCAAACGGCTTCAGCCCAAGCTTTTTGACATGTGACAGCATTACATACGATTCACAAGGCAACCACACGATGTCTGGCATTGCGCAAAAAGTTAACAAGTAAATTATCACCCTTGACATTTTCAAAACACTTAGTCACTTAACTGTCTTCTAATTAGAAGATCCATCCTGCAAGTGCTCCCCAGTGCTCTTCACGCTCCTGAAGAGCCTTCTGCTGTGTGCGGTTTGCAACTTCTGACACGATACAGACACATTAGGAACAACGCAGCGTGGCGGGGGCCAAGAAAGAGAAGGTTTATTTAAGCAACACTGCGCAGGAGATGGCAAAAATGGTGAAACGAGAAGAAACCATCTGCCTTCTGCGAGGCAACGCCAAAAGCAAACCACCCTCCTTCTCCGGGCACCGGGCGAGGCGGCTCTCCCGGCCGGTCTGCTCCGGATCCCCCGGCTCTGGAGTCCCGTCCGCCCGGTCGCCTCAGGCCAGCGTTAGCCCCTCCGGGCCGGGCCCACTGAGCAACGCCCCGCGGAGGGCCCAGCCCGCAGGCAGCCGTCCCGGCCCCGCCTGCCCAGGGGAAGATTTAACCGCTGCCGGGGAAAGTTTTAACCGCTGCCGGGGGAACCGGCTCCCGCCGCCCTCTCCCTCGCCCACCCGCTGCGCC